CAAGTACAATTGAAACATAAAGCGAATGCAGATGGCAGACACAAAGCTTGGTTTATGAATAAAATTCTATGGAATCATAGAGTCCTTTAGAAACATTCATCTGTTATTCCTGTCATAGAGTTGGTTTTCACAGGGTCCATCCCTACCCAAATACAGATGCTATGACCTTTTCATTCCACATAACCACCATTCATTTAGGTACCATCTTCTGAGTCAGTGGATTTGTATGCATCCTAGGTCTTTGAAAAGAAGAGTATAGAATATTTAGGGTGAGTCTCAATAATGTTTTGCGTTAAGAAAAAGCATTACTTGTGCTAGATTGTGTGCAGGAGGAGTCTTCACTCACATGGGGGCTGATGAACTCTAACTGTAGATATCCTGGCTTTCATAGGACTCCCTAGTACTAGAACCTAATGTTACTGGGCAGTCTGCATATTGAATCAGCTCCTGTTCATATAGTTTCCCTCCTACTAGTCATGTTATTTTTCTCTGTCCCTACTGACTTCCTGCAAGATTAGACTCCATCTAATGTTTTTGCTAAAACTTACCATGCCACTGACACCCATCTCTTTACTTGAGTGAGATGGAGTAATCTGGATTTTTCTCCATATACCTTACGACCTATTATTTTACATAAAAACTGTGCTTTACTTTCTTTACAGTTTTCATTTCAGATTTTTTAGAACACATTTACTTATTTTAGTGAAATCTGGTGTTGCACATCAAAACATGTGGCTCACATACCTGAGGATTTGGGAAGTGATTTTTAAACCTGGCCACAGAGAAAGTCATGTGGAGAGTAACATAGAAGAGTCTCACCTACATCCCATTCTCAAAGATTTTGTTTCAGGTAGTTGGATAGGGCCCTGTATTTTGGCATTTCAAGTTGAGATTCAAATAAGCGGACATGGTTGGAAAATACTGGCTTGTAGTACTTAAGAACTCTTTTGAAAATCTTAACATTGACCTATCTTATAGATTTGTTGCAAACTAAATAAAACAAAATGAATTAAGAAACCAGTGAAAAATGTTGAGCACAGTGCCTAGCACCAAATCAGCAAACAACTGGTGGTAATGATGATGATGATGATGATGATGATGTTTTTTCTTTTCCTTTACAATTATAATAATACCATTTCTCCATATGGTAACATATATTTGAAGGATTTGAAGACTCTTCTACTGCAAAGGTATAGTAAGGTGAAATAACACACAATCATTAGTATTTCAGTTGGTTTTCACTCTCATGTGTAAACATTCACATGTCTGAAGCAATGGTTTGAGCACAGCAGATTTTATATGAATAACCCCTGTTTTGGTATAACACAAAGTGGTTGCGTTCATATGCTCCTCATCAAGATCTGAATTCAATTTTAAGTTTCTATGAGACTAATGTTGCTCCAAACTTGCCAAGATGGAGTCAGTCATTCTTGATTTGATCTAATTTGGGTTACATAAGACAAAAGGCAAGAGTAGTGAGGTGAATGAAAAAAAGTGCCAAGTGGAGTTGTAAGATTTTATATTAAGAATGAAGCAAAATATATTTATAAGAAAGCAAGTAAAGTGTCCTTAGTTAAGGAACAATATGAAAACACAAGACACCGTCGTTCAGAGAACAGGGTAAAAAATAAATCTTTCTATTCATCGATCTCTAGATTTTTTACAAAGGTTAACCATGACATTCAAAGGAAACCTAGTCAAATAAACTCAAGTTGATGTTAAATTGGGGTCTTTTTAATAAGATAATGTTTTTGCTTTGCATTTAAAAACAAGAAGCTGAATCACTAAATCAGCAATAGCTTCTTACTTTCATGTCTAAGAATTGGTATTTCTTTAATGTAGAAGCAGGAAAACTTTTCTCCATCCTTACTAAATCATTTTCTCTTTCTCCAGAGTGAAATTTACTGACACATAAACATAGTTAAATGTCTTGGGGCTATCCAATCTCAGAAAAGAAAGGTGATATGGCCTAATAATTCTAAGTATTTTCAGAATTTTTATCTGCACAGAAAACAGAAATAAAGGTAATATACTGAAGCTGCCACATGATAGATTTAAGGTAGACATAGAGAAAAAAAATGAGAGTGCAGATGACTAAGTATAGAAAAGCAATTCAAGTGAAGTCAATAAATAGATATTCTTATGAGGTTTAGTTATATCTAGAATTTGCTAGATGGAAAATACAATTCCTGGATCTCTCTTACTGTAACAGTGAGTTATCATTGCTACGTAGTCACAGTTATTTTGAAGACTAACTTTGCATTTTTTAAAAGCAACATAAGACTTTGTAGAAACAAAATAAAAGCAATTTATTATAAATAGACTAACCTCTGAAATAAATTTGGGATGAAACGTTGGAATTTGTGTTAGTAAAAATTCAGTGTTTTAAAGTTCTGCCTTTTTCAATAATTGCTGCAGGAACTTTTTAAATCTCCTGCTTTTCAATAGATTTTAATAGATATCCATCTTTCATGGCTTATTCTTTATAAACTGAAAAATTACCTAATTGTGATCATTCATACACAACAGTTACCTATATACTTTACATATTATGTTTTGTTAAATGTAAAAGGATAAACCAGTGTATTACCTGTTGGTGGCCATATAAATCAAGCTGCCGTCTTGTGGATAACTAGGTAGTGGGTCAGTCAATCTTGCAAGATGTAGCAAAATCCTATATATGCCCAACTGCTCAAGAGGAGATAATAATGTTCACAACAGTTTTAAACTTCTTTAAATTCTTAAGTTCTGCCTATCAAATTATCACCTGTAGGACATGTTCATTCCTTCTGAAATTAGTAATAAACTAAACCATATTAATATGTAGGTTGGGAAACATTGGAGGATGGTTTCTCCAGTTTAATTAGCCTCTAGTGCTGATTTGTTTTGATAATATAAATAATTAGTTTAACCACAAAATTGATGTAACAGAAATAATTGTCAGGCAATTAAATATTGCAATGATTTCAGCTCCTGGGAAATATATAGTATGTAAGTACCACAATAAAATTGTGATGTACTTGGCTTAAACTACAAAACATCTTCAACTTGATTTGTCAAAATAATTTTATTGATTCAGTTTTCTTCCTATTAGAAAACACTTACTACACCGGGCACGGTGGTTCACTCCTGTGATCCCAGCACTTTGGGAGGCCGAGGCGGGTGGATCATGAGGTCAGGAGATCGAGACCATCCTGGCTAACACGGTGAAACCCCGTCTCTACTAAAAATACAAAAAATTAGCCGGGTGTAGTGGCGGGTGCCTGTAGTCCCAGCTACTCAGGAGGCTGAGGCAGGAGAATGGCGTGAACCCAGGAGGCGGAGCTTGCAGTGAGCCGAGATCACACAACTGCACTCCAGCCTGGGCAACACAACGAGACTTCGTCTCAAAAAAAAAAAAAAAATTTACTAATATACATTTACTGAGAATGAAGCCTAAATTGATGTCTATAGAGTGTTTTTCCCCACATATTAAACTTTTACACACTATTAAAGTTAAAATATTTTATATTCTCTGAACTCATAAATGCTAGCTGGCCATTTTAGTTGGGGGAATGTAATAAATAATGAGACAATGTTGGGAAATTCATTCTCAAATGCAGTGTTTGTTACTATTCCTTTATGAAATTAGAGCTATATGCAGCATTTTACTTTTCTACATGTGTATATTAAATAGAATATTCAAGAAATGACACCATCCTTTTATTTTTTCTTGTAGTTTCCTAATGTTTTCACATTTTTATATTTAGAAGTTTATTTTTTACATTTTGTAATCAGGTTGCATTTCTTAATAATATTATTTTAGTATAGTACAAAATAGTTACATGTCTTATTATCAACGTTCACATCACATACACACTATCTTATTTTTGAACTTAACCCAGATATGTGTGCAAACTGATGTTCAGCTGTCATCAGACTTTTTTCCAAAGGACATTCTGAAAATTACTGAAAAGTCTTGAAATTTAGTATCTCTACTCTTCCAAAAGAAATACCACTAAAGAATCACAAAAAAGTTTTATAAATTCCACTAATTATTACTTTCTAATGATTTCTCCCTACTGTAAGAGAATATATGTATATAAATGTTTTCTGTCCTTATGTATAAGCATACTTTGGAGTAATAAAATTGATATTCATATATGAACTATTATATCCTATATTTATCTGAAACATTCCTAGGTGTATAGATGTAATTATTTGAAACTACAATATAAATTCTGTCCTAATAAATAAAAACAAAACTTGAGATTTACTTATTAATATATGCGATAAAGATTCATTAATTATTCTAGTCCAACATTAATATGAAGTATTTCTAGTACATTATCTTTTCTCCCTATCAATTTTCCTAGGAATTAAAGTGTAAACCAATAATTTTATTAATTTTTAAACAATTCAAATTTTAAATATAAAATTATTCTCATATGTAATAAGTGTATTTCCTTAAAATTTTACTAAATAATTGATTAGAGACTCCATCTTGTATAATATTTAAGCATTGAGGCCGGGCGCGGTGGCTCACGCCTGTAATCCCAGCACTTTGGGAGGCCGAGGCGGGCGGATCACAAGGTGAGGAGATCGAGACCGCGGTGAAACCCCGTCTCTACCAAAAATACAAAAAATTAGCCGGGCGTGGTGGCGGGCGCCTGTAGTCCCAGCTACTCAGGAGGCTGAGGCAGGAGAATGGCGTGAACCCGGGAGGCGGAGCTTGCAGTGAGCCGAGATCGTGCCACTGCACTCCAGCCTGGGCAACAGAGCCAGACTCTGTCTCAAAAAAAAAAAAAAAAATTAAGCATTGAAATCTATATTCTTAAAAAATCTCATTGGCATATTTTAAAAACAATAACCAGCATTCTTTTTTTTTTTTTTTTTTTGTATGTTTAGTAAAGACGGGGTTTCACCATGTTAGGCAGGATGGTCTCGATCTCCTAACTTCATGATCTGCCCGCCTCGGCCTCCCAAAGTGCTGGGATTACAGGTGTGAGCCACCGCGCCCGGCAATAACCAGCATTCTTTACTAAGTACCTTATTCACTTATAAACAAATTTTGTGTAAGATGTGGGTTATTGATACAAAATGCCTATACATTGATACCTGTGGAAATTGACAGATAAATAAATAAATAAACAAAAATGCCTGCAGAGCACTAGGAGTATTTAAGTTTCCCAATCTTTATATTGCTGTATTTCTCTAGGCACATTATATGTGGCATTCTGTCACCCAAACAAATGCAAAACAAATAAGAGAGGTTATGATTTGTGTGCACTAAAATTACCAGAAAATACATTTGTCTTTAAAAATTAACTGAATGTATATATCTATATATCAGCATGTTTTCTACATGCAACAGGATATGATCTAATTTGCTACCTTTCTATCTCTGCCAATATTTATACCATTAAAATTTTATATTATGTATGCAATATAGGATTATATTTTAATGTGTAAACTTTTTTTTTCTGCTTGCCATATCCTCTTAGCAATTGTAATACCTCAGCTTTATCATTCGTCTACCAGAAATACAGTTGACATTCACATTGTCCAAATTCATCTTTCTGATCTGTAATTCAATGTTATATCACTTTGCCTGGCATTGAATCTTTTTTAATACACATTTTTATCTAAACTTCCATGTTTTTAGGCAGAATTAAATGAACAGTATCTTTCACGTTGGCCCAAAGTACATTTTGACAAATAGTCTTCTTGAGTCTAGAATCTTGCACTTGACTAATATGATTAAATTCCAAATTATTCTGGGAGGGTTAAAAACTTAAAACAAACAAACAAACAAACAAAAAACCACATTGAGTCAGTGTCAGTGTTATAAATCAAGTTAATGTGCAACATTATTTTCGAGTTGAAATTTTAAGGATTTAAGATATTTATAACATTATTTTGAGGGCACTAAAGTAACTTTAAATTTTAAGTCTTCCATGTGTCTTTAAAATGAACACATTTAATTGCTTTTATAACAATAATATTTATTGTATCTTATGTTTATGTAATACGTTTTATTTTATATAGCAAATTTCTATGCATTGTTTCATCTGATCCCTATATCTATTATTATTATTTTGCTGTATGTAGCATTACCATTCTCAGTCCATACATAAAAGATGTTAAGTTACCAGAGTTTTTACAGATAGTAAGTGGTGGAGCAAGAACTGGAGCCTAAATCATTTCAACCCTAGTCTAGAACTCTTGCTCCCATGTCACGTGCTAGCTTGCTACTCAAAGTAATCAAATAAACTGACTATCATAAAAGTCGGAACTTGGGAGGAAATATGAACATATGAAAGTGTATTTTCATATATTATCAACTTTTTGAACTCTCATTGAGGCCATTGAGTAAAAATAATTTTCTGTCATTGGAAATGCAGAGGGAATGCAACAAGTATTTGCCCTGAATCCATTATTCAGAAATAAATGAAATAACATAAAGGCAGGCAAGCGCACTGTTGGTGGCTTTCCTTTCCCTAAAGTTGGGGTGGTTGAAGTGAATTTCCTTTCTCTTTCTCCAGGTGCTTGTTCTGTTTGCATGCTGAGCTGCACAGCTTTCAAAGGGCTTGCCCTGGGATATGGCTGGGCTAGATTTAGAAGGAACTGGTCACTGAATAGCTCTGGTAATTCTTGCATCTCACAGTTATGCGGTTGACAGCTCTTTTCAGTGGGGAAAGCTTGGGTATATTTCAAGGTGATTGTAGTTTTGTCCCTCTGGCAGTACGCTGCTGCAACCGGCTTAGCCCATTATCCTCCTCTCCCACTGGATTTAAGCCTAGGGAGAAATCTGGGGCTTTTGTCAGGTAGAAGGTAAGAGATGGATAATTATACCCCGTGTGTGCTCAAAGAGAAAAGCACTATATCATAGAGTAGCTTTCAATTACTGAAATGGAATTGTCTGAAGTTCCAGTGACTTATAAATTACTCTTTGTAAAAACCAATAGTTAACATTATTATGTTAGTGATGATGTGCTTTTAATATCTCATACTTTAAGGTTTATTACACAAAACTTTGCAGATAGCGCTTAATACTCAGAGAATAAAATGTATTTACATTTTTGTGTTTTTATTAGAAGATTTAAAAACACAAATGGCTGCTCTGAAAAAATTGACTAAAAACTTCACTGTACAATTGACTATATTATAATTTTTCTCAATTTGAGTTTCTTAAATCTCAGGGGCTAGTACTGTAAAATCAATGCAAAGTAATTACAAAATTTAAAATTCCAGATGCTATGATTACATACATCTTGTCCTTTAATATCCATTCTGTCAAATACCTTTTGTAAACACTGTTACTTAACAAAACACATTTGAAAAATAACATTTTCACTAATTCTGATAAATTAATTAGGTAAATCAGTCTTAGCATATTTATAGGGCAGTATTTTCAGTTTGTGATCCCCCAGGAGCTCAACATTACTTTCACTCTCCTTTTAAAGGCAGAAATTATAGTCAGAAATGAGCATTTTAATTTGCAGCTGACAGTTTAGGGTTAAGATATGATTCCAGGTAACAGAAGCCAATGAGAGTACACCCAGTTGATGTTTGTGACATCATCTTCCAGTCGGAGTACATAGAACAGCTGAGGTGGCGTTCAGTTTCAGCACAGTGCCATTATGATGGATGTTTACATCTCTTCATTGAGAGCCAATTATCTCGCTTTTGTGTGAGGCCCAAAGATCTCTCATGCTGCCAGGCTGCACAGAGCACTGTTGGATCTAGCTGAACGAATTGTTTTCTCTGTCTCTGGTAAGGGCTTCTTCCGTTTTACCTTCTCTTTTAAAATAAAGGTAGATGTGTCTTACAGACGAAGTAGTATAAGGGTCAAAGAGGATTACTATCTGGTAAGCTTTTATTCAGGAATGTTTATCATTATTTAAAGGACTATGGAGTTAGCAAAATGAATTGAAGAAAGAGCTTGCTAACGTGTACCTGACAAACTAATTTGCAGCAGAAAATGAATGGCAGGTAAATTCAGCTTCGCTTTAGAAAAAAGAAAGTAACTGCTATTACAAGACCACAATTTTGGATGTGTTTTTAAAACTGTACATGTGCATGTGTATCATTCTGCATCATTTCTCTGTATTTTTCTATTAGTATTAAAGAATAGTGGTAGAAATGGTCAACCAAGTAGTGTTGCTGTAGACTTAAAATGAGTCAAAGTTTCTAATTGTTAAATGGTAGTTCTTTGGGACAGTTTTGCAAAGTTGCATTTATATAGGGAAAACAAAATTTACCAAGTGAGCAAAGGCTCTGGCTTCTGAAATAAAGTTGTAAGACTTTACATTCATATTTGCCATTTAAATCTAAGGAAATAATAATAACGAAAAATTTTAAGAATGTGTGTAAGGGTTTCTTTCTGGAATTAAGAGATATTAAAATCTTTTATTGCATTTTGTTATGCTTTTTAGTGCAAAATAAAATACTGTCTTTCACGTAGCCAGAAAATATTTAAATCCTAAAAGAGTACTTTATATTATTTAATCATTTGTCAGTAGTAACATTTATGCCTGAGGATCTTGTTATATTGTAGCAAAATGAATATATTTAGAGCTGTTGAATTGCTATGGATAGGTGATTGAATGTGACAGAGAACCTGAAAAGTCACTACACTAAAAGCTTTCAATTGACTGAGAATGTTCACATGCTAACGAATGAAGAATTCAAAAATATTCGTATCCCTTCAAGTGTTGTCTATTATTATGGTAGAAAGTAGCACACGGTTGTTATTTTAAAGTTGAATGCAGTTATTTATGAAATAAAGCCACAGAAAAGTGTAATTAGCTGTTATTTTATTTAACACGCTCTTTTATTTTAATAGCATCTCCATTCCTCCTAGGGTAATAAAACTTTTGAATAATGGCTTGTTCATCCAGCGTTGATGTGCTTATGCTTTTTAGATTTATTTTTACTCTGCCTTTAACATAGAATATTTCTGCCTTTGCAAACTAGTAATTTTGATAATTAAAAATCAGGATTTGGAGATTCTCGAGTTGAGCTGTAAGACAGCAGGATTTTCTCAGCTATGTCACACTCTGTATCTTCTGCTAGCCCAGTCCTGTTTGGCAGCTCTAGACATTACTGTTGTTCGAATTGTCTCCTTTAGTCAATTCAGGTCTGAACAAAACTAAGTTTATAGAAAGTGTCAGATGTGTATTAATGAAATCTAAACAAGTGAACTTAATGTCTCAGCCACAACCATATATAATCAACAAAACCTCAAAAAGCTTCCGATACACATCTAGAGTTAATTTTTTACTCAGGAAAATTTAAGTTGGTATATTCTGTGAATTTCAAAATTTAAATTGAAATCTAAAAGTTTTGATAATATGAGCTTGAAAGCGTAATGAGTCACTGCTTTGAAATGATTTTTTTTTTCTTTCCCTAAGTACTCTAAAGTGGAGTTGAAAAACCCAGTGGTATTGACTGTGTCATTTTCACAGGTGATTAAACTTAACTAAGGGAAAAGCATTTGTCTCCCAATAATTAATTCTCTAAAAATCTATTTATATCATTCTGTCAACAATGAAGAAAATCTTATTCAGCTTGTGAATGATCTAGACATTTAAATGTATTTTTTTCTGTGTATAATTCATTCTTTCAGTATTAGCCTTGCTAGTCACAAATGCACTATGTTGATGGTGATTGCAGTATGTTTAAGTGCTTATCTCCTCCTTTTCCTTTGGACAACTTTATACAATGCAAGTACACAGGATATGAACTACCTGGCTAATGGACTTAATTCATTTCACAGGAAGTTTTTTTGTTATTATTTTTAATGTAAGAGAGGACATCAATGGGATCATAGCAATTTCCTATGTCACAAAGTTCCTAGGAAGGCTTCTCAGTACAGAGTGACATAAACAAATGATATGTGATGTTACATGTACTACTGTGTTATCTCCTTCCTTTTAAATACATATGATCTTTGTCTGATTTATGTAACCAATATTAAGAAGAGATGGAAAAAAATAGCCATGGAAAGATTCTTATTAACTCTTCTGAAGTTCTCCGCATACTCCATACACTGGGGGTGATATATTTTTTCTTTTGAAAATTATTCTTCAAATTATGTTTTTACCTATTGCAAAATAATACTCTTTTTGTATGTTTTAATACTTTTCTAGATTTTAGTTTAATGTAAGCCCCTTTGTTAGTTTCTTGTAGTGATTGAATGCACAATACTGCTTGTTTTTTTGGTTTCTCAGTTCAAGCACTTGAATGATCATGAATTCTATGCTTGCCTTGACAGTGTGAAATTCTGGGCATTCCAGGCCAACTTTTGGCTTAAGACAAAAAATATAGTAACTATGATGTCATCTTGGACAGCTTGGACTTACTGCGTGAATGTCTGGATATTTAGGTATATATTTTAGGTACATAAATGTAATATTTTATGTATTTTAAAGTTTAAAAGGTCTTTTTATCAACATTGTGTACATATATATTTAATTCTTAACAATTGATATGCGATAAAATAATTGATATTATGCAACTAAGGAAACAGAAACTGATAATTTGTAACTTGTTTCCAAAGATCACCCAGTCAGTAAGTCAGTAAATGCAAGAGCTAGGATCCAGAAACAAGTTTACAAATTTTGGTGCCCCAAATCAATCAATTTCTCCTTCTTATTTTCTTTCTCTTTCTCTCTCCCTCCCTCCCTTAATACAGCTGATTATCTAATCAGTCACTTTTCTTGAGTATCTACTCCGTGCCAGACACTCTTCTAGGTACTTGGCATTTATAACTGAACAATGAAAAACAATTCTTGTTCTTGCATATATTATTTTTTTCTACCTGAAAAGTTCTCATCTTTAAATTACTACAAATGTAGAATGTATTTTAAGGTGTGGCTAATTAAAACCAAAAGCTTTATGGGAAGTAGGAAACATGTTTTAAAGGACAAACTCGTTTGCATTTCTTGTGTTTCTGTGTGTCTCTAAGTTCTCAGGTATGTTTTAATCTAAAATAGATTTTTACATTGTATTTGGGTTTTGTGAAAAGTCTGTCAAATATTTTATAACTCATACTTGATTCTGAATGTGGTCACTGAAATATTATAAGAATAAAATAGTTTGTGGTGGATCCCAAAAACAGTATTAAGCATTTTTGGACAAAGTTATCTTATATTTATAATGTATGTTCAAGCAAGCTAGCTTTATTTTTATTGTCTATTTTACAATCAATTATTTGCTGGTAAGAGTAGGCCAAGTTTACAGTTATTTGACTTTGGATAAGGTTCTTTAAAGTTTAAGCAAAAGAATAAAAAAGTGAAGAAATTTTTTATTTTAATTAAAAACCTTAATATCTCACAAATGATAGTAGTTTGTGTTTGAACAAGCAAACTAGAGACAATCTACCTTTTAAGGCCAATTTTTTCAGTATCTTGGTAGACGGTAATGGTAGTTCCTAGGACAATGGCACTAAAAGTGATATTTATTCGCTACTGAACTTATTTACACATACTCAGTGACTTAAAAGAAATAAAAAGCCTAAAATACAACCTCATCAGAGAAAATCAATCTGTACATAGAACCTATCAGTTGAAGATAAACCATTTTTAGATAGTATCATTTAATTAGCCACTGAAGAATCTATCTAGTGAACATACATATAAATTGTACAACAAAAGTTAGCTGAAAACACTTGATTTGGCTCAAAATATTTTACTCTTGTACTATTGCATAATAATAAAACAATACCCCTGAACTTAGTCCCTTTAGTAATGCCCATTTTAAGTATGCAGAATGAGAGAATAAAATTAGAATCCAATAATTGAAAGTATGAATGTGATTTTTTTATCTGCTTTCTCTCTCTGCCTCTGAAGCTATGACAAAGGAATGTGCCCTTTTCAGGGGTTAATAAATTATAAAGACTTTTCTGCTTCTTTCAGAGTTAGAGACAGAGAAGCTTGTTCACATTAGAACTGCATAAAATGAAAATATAATCTAGAGCTATTAAGCACTAGATGTTTTTCCAAGAAGTTTTACAAGGCACTGGGCCTTGGATTTAGCTATTTGTAACTACTTATATCCACAAATTAATTTTAATAGTATTTTTGATGAGAAAATATAAACTGACAACAGTACTTTTTAATGCTAAATTCTGCCAAAAGCAGAGAATTAATTGCTCGGTGTTTGATACTGGTCTCAGGGGCATGGAACTGAGCATAACATAAAGGTTGTCTAGGTAAATTTTCACAAGTAAGTGACTCTCTACCTGTGTGCCATAGCATACCATAAAACTCTCAAGGGTATACCCTAACATTTGGGTCAATGTGGAAAATGTGTTTTTCCTAAAACTGAGTATACATATTGCTACTGCAGTCAGTCAGGTAAAATATTGAGCTGAGTAAAATCAACAATATGGGGGGAAAAAAGACACAATTTACTGTGATGAGAGGCAAGGTGTAAAGTTAAGTTCCAGCAACTTTTCTCAATTCAAAGTACAGAAGAGGCTATGATCAGGCTAGAAAACAGTTTTGCTCAGCAGAGCAAGAAAAGAGCAGATGCTTTTAAAGACACTTTCTTGTTTGTTTGCATGCACTTGTTGCATGTAAGAATATGCAATAATTGTGTGCAAATTATATTCAGGTAGTCTGGTCCCCCCTTCTTGTTCCACCCTTTTCAGGCTTCATGCCTTCATAATAAAAAAAAAAGTAGGAGGGAGGGGGAAATAAAAGTACCTACCTCATAAGGTTGTTATGAAAATTTCATGAACTGATCTTATAAGCATGGAGAACGATGCC